AGAAAGGAAGGAAGGAAGGAAGGAAGAAAGGAGGGAGGGAGGGAGGGAGGGAAGAAAGAAAGAAGGAAGGAAGGAAGGAAGGAAGGAAGGAAGGAGGAAGGAAGGAAGGAAGGAAGGAAGGAAGGAAGGAAGGAAGGAAGGAAGGAAAAAGCATAAATTTCAAGGACTGAAGCTAGAGGTCCTAGGACAACAAATAGCCCACCCCACTCTACCCCCGTGCCCTGGTTGCTTTTTTCCGGAAAGGCAAGGTCTGGTGAGGTTGCCTGGTCTGGATTGTAAGACTGCTCTAGCAGGGGCATCTTGTTTAGCAAGCACAATGCACTTTTAGAGATTTTAATCAGTTGCCAATCTTTGAAGGCAGTTTCATATTAACAAATTGAAAGCTAGACTCCTGGCTCCCCTTGGCAGAACTGGCTAGCCTGAATTCGTCCTCCCCTGTGAACCCCATCTCAGCACTTTGCCTGCCCCTGCAGCCACAGGCCTGGCCATTGGAGGGAGATAGGCATCTCACAATCCCTTTCATTTCATTTTTACCCAGGGAGCTCTGAGAACAGATCCACCCCTGGGCTCAGGCCAAGTGAGTTAAAATCTGAGGTGGGAAATGACCTGGGCTTTCGAAGGTCATTTCTTAAATGTCCAAGGTCTGAAGCCAGGGTTAAGAGTAGCTGGTCCTGAAAGGGTTAAGAATGGCTATGAACAGTGGGTGACACCTCATTTTCTTCTAGCTGCTCCTAGGTGGTGAACAGACCCATTTTAGAATCTCTTTGTCAGATGCAACCAAAATCTGGTTTTCCTCGCTCCCTTCTCCCTGACCCCATTTGGCTGTAGTTAAGTTACTTCTCTTTCTCTCCCTGGAACAGCCTTGGGTTTTTGTTTGTTGGTTTTTGGCTCTCTGCCCCACTGTTTTGGCTGCCCCAGTCTCAATACCCATTAATTCCCCCACATTTCCGCTAAAGAGCAGGAACGCTGGGAATAACCCCTGTTTATTCTACTGCAGAGGTCAGAAGGCAGGCTTATCTCTGGTTCCATGTCACAACATTTTAACTTAGTCATAATCTGATTTCTATTAACAAGGAACTGAAACCACACCATGGGATTGAAAATCAAGATTTGGTGCAAATTCAAGCCCCAAATACCAACTCTGATTTTGGGGGTCAGGACCATAGTCCCATAAGTAAAATTAAAGGGCCCACTTGTATATCCATAATAGTTTCAGGGATTATAAATATAGACTAATTTCTAATCAGTTGAGTTTCTAAGATGTATTTGGTTGCTGTTTTTCTGAGTGTTGACTCCCTCCCCTTATCCCACCTCCATTTTGTTTGCTTTCTCCTCCGGTCCTGCTTGCTCTTATTAAACCAACCCTTAAAGGTCAGGCTGACAGAAGCTGCCCCAGGCGGAATGGAATTGGAAGATCAGCCCAGACCTTAGCCTGTGTCTTAAAGTGAGCTGGAGATTGCTTTCTGTGTCCCGGTTATGCCTGAGGAGATAGATGTGGACCTGGAAGTTTCCAGAACTGGGTCATGGCTAGCATCCCCAACCTGTCTTGGGTCTGTGGCACCTTCTAGGGAAGGCCTTGTCCTCCATGGCCTACACTCCAGGATGCTGTAATCTGAACTCAAGAAATCACAGGGAAGCCAACCTTGCACAGAGACCGCAGGAGACAGCCAGAGACTGGGCCAGACAAGAATTAGATGGACATCAAATGGCAGCCCAGTCTCTGGACATGGCATTTGGGAGCCACTGGACTGTGCTGACCACTTTTCAGGGGAAAGCCAGATTCCTCAAGACATGCACAGGCCACAGAGAGGCCTTGCATGTTGCCGGGTCTGTAAGGTTGAAAATCTTGCCCCAAATTAAATATGAAAACTAAATTGAACGCTGAGATTTCCTCTAACAAGAAATGGCAACATCAAACAAAACCCATCACGCCCTTTTACAACATCTACAGTTTGAAAGAAAGGAGGGGATTTGGGGTCTTTTCATTTGTCTCTAGTCTCCGAAAAATGCTCGACCCGTAAGAAAAAACACTATGTGTAGGGAAAGGAAGAAGCCAGCTTGGAGTCTGACAGAGTCAGACTCTGAAACCCTACCGGGACCCAGACCCAGGCGCAGTGAGCATGTCACCCAGCTAGGTGGCTTCAGGGAGGATCGCGGCAGTCCCTGCGCAGTGCGCAAAGGTCCCCGCGGGCTGTAAAGCATAAACTATGTCTGATTGCTGTGAACCAACCCTGAAAGTATGACGTCTCGCCTTTCCCAGTCCTAACCGGCCAGGATTGTGCACCTCGGCTACCTAGGCCCAAATTTCTTTTACGTTGAGTCCACACGTAGGAACGATCCGGACGCGAAGTGCTCCCAACTCCGAGCTCAAGTCCCTCCCGGGATCGCCAGGGCGTGGCGACGAGCGTGGCAAGCACCCTCCCCCGCCCCACCCCCCTGCATCTCCACCCCCTCCGGGCAACCGGTCCCCTCTCCTGTCGCCGGCTCAGGCTTCCCTTTGTGAAGCCGGAAGCTTTCCCAGCCGGTCGCCTGCCACCGCCGAGATGTCAGATACTCACCTTTCAAGTGTTTGCCAAAGTGACCGAACGCCAATCAGAACCACGAGGAAGCTCTGCCGGCCGCCTTTTAGGCAACAAGAAAGGAAGGACAAGCAGACGGCCAGCTGGCAGTCCCTTATTTTCCGCGAGCTCCCCCAAAATGCTCCTCGGTGCCGCCAACGCAGCTGCCAGGTTTAATAACTGTGTCAGACAGCCCCCCCCCCCGGAGTCACAGATGACAGGCGGGGGTGGGGGGGACCAAGTTGGCGCCTTACACCGCAGTCTCCCAGCGTCAGCCATAGAAAAGATTGCACAGGAACCTACCACGCCAAGGTTAAATGCCAAAGAATCCTCCAGAAACCTCCCTTCTTTCCTATTTACTTGGCAGCATTTCTTTCAGGAACAGGAAACAAGGCGAATGAACCAAACCAGGGGCAAGTATTGTGAGCTAACCTGCATCTCAAAAGGAAAGGACCTTATGCGGCTTCTTCCAGCCAGGTTGCTACTTGACTCCTGGGCCTTGGTGGGATGTCTTGGGCACCCCGCGATGCGCAACAAGCCCATGCAACTGCGCCTCACGTTTTAATGGCTCACATCAACTCCCTCGTCTGTTCCTAGGACTCTGTTCAACAGGACCTTACTGTGTGGGGACGCTCCGCTGCAGTTCATCCACTTGGACCATTTCCAAAGCGCAAGCGGCTTCCGGAGACAAGCTGGATACACCGAGGCAGGAGGAATCAGCGGTTCGGTTTCACAAGCACACCATTAAGGCCGAATATTCCACCCAAAGTAATGTTTTAGAGCACGTCACAGTCTAGCGGCCACACCTCTTGGTCTCCCAAGGGTCCTCACCCCAGCTGGCTCCGCCCCAGGGTTTTACTCAGGGCGCTGCACCTGCTTCCACTCTGCGGAGTAGTTGCCTTGGAAACCCTGGAGAGCTGGTGCTCCCTGCAGACTCTCTGTTGCCCTGACAACAGCGACCCAACTCTGGGTGTGCCAGGAATAATGTCAGGGGTGCTGCTTTTTAAATACGAGTTCAGGGCTGTGCTAGGGACTGGTTGGTAGAGCAGGGATAAGAAAACAGCGATATTCGGGGATGCAGGCTGAACCCCCAGAGCCTGGGTGGAGTCCGTAGGTACCACTGACTAGCGACACAGTCTCTTCACCCCTTTTTACCAAGCAAGTTTACACTTGACTGTAAAACACATTCCATATTCCTTCTATTCAGTTTCAGATGCTTAAAAGTGTTTCCCAGCACGACCTGGCCCCAGGTAGGAATGTTGGAAACAGAGAGAATCCCTCTTGGGGGTAATAGTGAACCATGGATGATGTCTTGGTGTAGACATTCAAGACCTCTGGCTCTGTTGTGCACGTGGCTAAGAAGCTTACACTCACCCAGTGGCACGTGGGCACTTCTGTTAAGGAAGTAAGACAGCACCAGGAAGGGTCAACCGGAAGGCAACTTCCGGGGCTGAAGCTACAGACTGTGGAGACTGGAATGAGGCGTGCGGAAGAGCAAGGGAGTGTTTGCACTGTTCTGTTTAATAAAGGGATAATGTGGAATAAAACATTCAAAGTCACAGATTGGACATCTAGAAAAAAGGGAAAAGCTGGATGACAGCTGGCTTTTTTCTTCTTTTGGTGTCTAATCCGTACAATAGTGAAACAGAAGCCAGGAGAATATTTTCAAAGTAATGACACAAAATAGCCATTATATTAGTCAGGGTTCTCTAAAGAACAGAACCGAGAGAATGCGTGTTTATATTACAAAGGTTTATTTTTATTTTATTTTCTCAGGTAACGTGGGCTAGGCAGTTCAACAATGGCTGTCTATACACCTGGGGGCCAGAGCTTCATCCCACATGGATGGAGCCGTGTGCACTTCCCTGCTCCCTAAGGCACTCAGCCTCAGATAGATTGATACAGCCACAGAAAACATGTCAGTACACCCATGCTTCATATGTACATGGCTGCCTTTTGTGTTTCAGGCACCATGAGCTTAGGGCCCTCACACCGTTTTTTTATTTGCCTTGTGAGATATTTCAACTGTGGGGGGTGTCTCATCATGCTTGCTCTCGCCATGAAGGGAAGGCGTTAAAACAAAAGATGGGGTTTTAAGAGTCCTTCTCAGAATTCTGTGTATCATACCACATGACCCAGCCATTCTGATTCTGGACATTATCCTGAGTGAATAGAACGATACACATGTCAACTTGAAGATTTGTAGGTGGTTACTTACGCCAACTGAAAGCCAGTAGGAGCTCAAATCTAAACTAACTTATAAAACTAACCAATGTCGGGCTGGAGAGATGGCTCAGTGGGTAAGAGCATCACCTGCTCTTCCAAAGGTCCTGAGTTCAATTCCCGGCAACCACATGGTGGCTCACAACCATCTGTAATTAGGTCTGGTGCCCTCTTCTGGCCTTCAGACATACACACAGACAGAATATTGTATACTAAATAAATAAATAAATAAATATTAAAAAAAACCCTAACAAATGTCTTTCATTTGATCAGAGATGATCTGAAAAAAAGATTCCAAAAGTTAGGGCTGAGGCAGAGTTTTGCTTTTGTCTTTCTAGGAAAATAAAGGCATCTAACTAAGAAATCTAAAGAGCACTGGACAAATGAGACATCATAAGAAAAAGGACGAATCATCATGAAAAATGTCCCAAGAAAGAGAGTAAATTTGTCTAGTAGTGAGCATACTTCCAACGGGATAAAATTTCATAAATCTTCCCAAATATTTGTTTCTGTCGTTTTCTGAAGACATAAGTCATATGGTCTTTCTGCAGTCCCAATTTAATTAAAAATCAAAGCTGGCTTTGGAGTTGGAGCGTGGTTCTCTCCTTCTCTAATCCCAAGCATGCTTGAATAAAGAAAACCCAAAATCTCTGTCTCATGTCAGAAGAATTACCTGATATGGGACAGAAGAAAAACCAAGATTTAGGTACTATTCTATTGTCACTAATGCCATAATCCTTTAGTTTTATTTGTGACTCTTTAAAGCTTTTCTTAAGGTATAAATATTATCTCTAAATTTATAAGATTACCATATATATTTAAACTTTTCATCATGATATTAATGGTCATATAGAGTACTAACTAAGTCTAGAAATAGGCTTTATCTAGCTTCCTGTATATGATTTCAGGCTTGAGCAGGTAACTAGGAATTAAGCTGTATACCCCGGGTGTCTTTAATAGATTGTGGTTCTGTAACCTCTTCGAGATCTGCTGCAAATGACATTGAAAAAGTATAAGTTTTCTCCAGTGAACTGTGACCATTCCTAACAGTGACCGGTGAAGTCTCCAAAAGGATGATGGGCCCCCACAATGACATTTTGTTACCACAATGTTACACATTGTTACCACCTGGATTGTGGTAACGCTGCTAAGCAAACAAACACCTCCCAAAGATGCTTTGGACTACAAGCTGGTCAGAACAATCTCCAGATGGTTAGCTCAGATGGTTCAGCACCATAGACTAATCCAGCCAGAACTTCAGGTAAGCCTTGCACTCTCTCATCCCACTGAGACTGGACAGCAGCTAGCTTTCTCAGGACTTTATCTCAGTTTTTTTCAGGTGCCATTGCCCCCAGACAACAGAAAGTAATTTTAAAAACATGATGCCCACATTCCCAAGAGGTGGGGTGGAAGGTCATTCTGTGGATATTTGTCATTGTTTGGGGGGCGGTGGTGATAAGTTGTTATTGGTCATGGTCAGGGAAGAAATTAAGCAAAGAAAATTAGATTTAGGGATCTTGTTCTGAAAAGAAAAAGGGGGGATATAGAAATGACAGGATGAAGGGTATTGTTGAATCTACTTTCAAACTAGCATCAAATATTTTACATTGGTATGGATTTTTGTATATTTGATACAAATTAAAGTTTGTTACACTGTATATATGTTTCTACTTTTGTTTAAGGTATTTATATATTAATACAAATTTAACATTATTTTTGCTATACTGTAGTATATGTTTCTATTTCTTGTTTAAGATATTGTATCTATGCAGCTCAATTTAAAATATAGTATAAAATTTTAGTCCTTGAAAACTATTAAGGATAATAAAGAAAGGCAAGATAATAGTTAATCATCTATAACAATCAAACTTACAGTCATGTTAGGTATGTTTTCAAGGTCAAACATATATATTTAAATAGACAGATGGTTTTCAACCACTTCAGAGACCTACAAAATGTGGCATTTAAAATGTTTTAATATCCTAAGACTTTTCATGACAGTGTGATACATCTGCTCATGACAGTACCAATTTACTTAAAAAAGATAATGGGCATTGGAGAACCTCCATATGGAGTTTACTTTCACTGTGGCAAAGTTAGCCACTGGGCAAGAAGCTGTCCCTGCCTTGACTGATGGTAGCGTGCTGTCCAAATTGGACAAGCAGAACTCAAAAGAAGGCGATTGCCAAACTTTACCAAGACAAGGTAGGACAGTCTTTTAAAATTCTGGGTTTACAAAATAGGCTATTAAATATTCTAAACCTGTAAGCTGAAGACGGATGCCCCAATGTTGCTGAGGAAGCTTTGGTGACTGCCCAGGCAGCCAGATGTCTCTGTTGTTTCTATAGTTTCTATAGCATAGTTGTTTGCTCTGCACTTCCTGTTACTCAGATAATATTATATCCTTCTATATAATATGGGGTTTCTGATGGGGTTGAAGACTAGATAGTTACAGTTTTCCTTGTTACTAAATTTAAAAAAAAAGAAATTCACAAAAGAGTTGTAAAGTGTATAACATTGAGAGACATAAAAACTAAAGGTGTTTATCTAAGAAAATGGTTTTGAGGTCTAAAAGGATAGTTTTGGGTTGGGTAATACAAGCTAGGATAGAAAATGTATTAGGTACAAAACCTTTGACTCATCACGGTAGGGTAAATAATGGAATATTTTCTCTGAATTTTCCAAATGCAAATTGACTGGACATCATGAGTGTAATTCTTACAGATAATTATTCTTAGTGGATATAGTTTTACTGTGTTAGAGTTAAAACCTTCCCTTTTATTTAGACAAAAATGGGGAAAGGTTGTGGGGTATTTTGATCATGCTCTGATACTTCCGAGACTGCCGATAAAGTTTACCTTGAATCATAGGGCAGAACTAGCTGTCGGCGACTAGAATCAGCCATAGAGGTTTTCAAGGACTCAGGACATAGAGAGACACAGGAAGTAGTAGGGAGGGTTTAGAAAGATTGGCAGGCATTTGGATGGAGGAAGGGAAAGAGAGGTGGCCACTGGTTACTTCTTTGCTGCCTCTCTGATCAGTCAGGTTTAACCCTGTATCTGACTCATACATTTTTATTAATAATAGAATAATTTAGATAATTGTTACATAGAATTGAAGTTTGGATCATTAGCAACTATTTTTGCTCCACTACAATACAGGAACTGCTTATTCTAACGGCTCTGTCTGGCTGGATGCCCAGTGCAGACTCAGGGGGCCACCAAGTGAGAGGAGACAGAGAAGCTGGGGGCTGTGTCTGCAGGCTGCTGGCTGCCTGGTGCATTTCCTTCTGTTTTCAGTCTTCTCTGGCCCTGCAGACTCAGGACACTGCTCCATTCCAGGGAAACCTTGAATCCTTGAAATCCCAAGTGGTTCTTTTAAAGCACACATAATTCGATTAACCGTTTTTAAGAGCTGAATGGTTGGGCAGTGATGGCTAACGCCTTTAATCCCAGCATTTGGGAGGCAGAGGCAGGTGGATCTCTGTGAGTTCAAGGCCTGCCTATTCTACAGAGTGAGTTCCTGGACAGGCTCCAAAGTTTCGTAGAAAACTTGTCTGGAAAAACCAAAATAAACAAACAAATAAATAAATAAATAAAATAGTGTGAGTATCAGGGGCAAAGCCCTTCAGGATCAGGCTGGATGCTAACAGAAGCCAAAGAATTTGGAGGGGCAGGCTGCTGTGGACTCAGAGGGGCAAGGGGGCAAAGGCAGTGGGTAGTTCTCTCCCAAGGAACTAATTAGACTCACCATTTATTTGAACGTGGACTTCAGTCATCTATCTACAAACACCACACCCACTTCCCTTCCAGGTCAAGAACAGGAGCCCAGATCTTTCCTCTCTACTTATCACGACCTCTTAGCTGTAAAAAAGAAAAAGAAATCACAGGAGAGACAGACGTTTCTCTGCCCATCGTGTCTAGCACACCAATCTGTAGTCACAAACTATATATTTGCTCCTTTAAGAAAAAAAAAAAATGTTTGCAAGACTGAGGCTTAAATGCAAGGCTGTTTGTATTCTAGGCAAATGCTCAGCCTCTGAGATGTACTCCCAGCCCATCTGGTGACCGCTTTAACATGTGACATACTGTCCACGCTGCTGTCCACGGCTGCTGTCCACGGCTGTTTCCAAGCCTGTACCTATGCCCCTCCTCGCAATGAGACCTGAAGTTTCCAGAGGCAATTTGACTTGGGTGGGATCGAATTTATCCCAAGTCCCAAGAGGAGGAATTAATGGTTTTCAACCAACTGTCACTCCTACTGTGCCCTTTAAACACTGGCACTAATGGAGTCAGAGACAGCAGCCAGGAGATGTATCTGGGGCTTTGGGGAAAATCAGCCTATTTATCTCACAGCAGTCTGGGCTAGCAGAGACCAGAGCTTTCCCCTAAGTAATGTGTATGGGGGTGCGGATTCTAGAATTACACAGCCATTTGTCATGCATGGAGATCCTCACTCCTGGGCTGCAAGCAAGAATCAGGACTGCTTGGTGTAACCCAAGGATAAAGCCAGTTTCATATAAGGCAGAATAGGGAGGGGAGACGCTGACCGGGGCTTAACCCCTTATCCCTGTCTCATGGTCCTGGATCTGATGGCAGAGTGTGTGTTCTGAATGAGCTTTCCAGGTTCTCCTTACTCTTCTGTGGAAATCACCCGGGAATCGGTTTCCCCATCCAACCAGAGGTCACGAAAAGCTCCCTCGGTAACTGAACTGCTGCCCTGAGAGCCCCCTCCTCATCTCCAGAGCTGGACAGAGGAGGGAACTGGAAAACGCAGACATGGCAAAGTTGCTTTGCACATTCACAGCCTTCTCCCCTCGGTTAAAACCCATGTGTTCCCTCCAAAGTGCTTCCACCTGCCCCGCCCTTCCGTGCTGAAGGTTGGTTTGTACTTTCAGATTTAGAGTGGAAGAGACATTTAGAGTTCGCCCAAGACCCTCCGTGGCAAATAGCTAGCCGCCTCTCCTTGCTCATGTCTCCTTCTGCTCAGCCCCCACTTAAGAACCCTAGCTACACTTAGTTCCTCCCCCCTGCTTCCTGGCAGCTAGTTGCTGATTCAGCCTCCTGGTCCCAGGTTAATCTTATTTAAGAAAGCAAATGTAACACATCTTTGCATTGTTAAGAAAAGCAGCAGAAACAAATGTTACACACCTTTACACAAATGTTGCACAACTTTACACAAATGTTACACACTCTTACACAGTTAAAATAATATTACACAACAAG